CAGTGTGAAGTGTGGGGCGTGAAGAGTGCAGTGTGAAGTGTGAAGTGTGAAGGAAGCAGTGGGAAGTGAGAAGTGTGAAGTGTGGAGTGTGAAGTGTGAAGTGTGGAGTGTGAAGTTTAAGTTTGGAGTGCGAAGAGCGCAGTGTGAAGTGTGAAGTGTGAGGTTTGGAGTGTGAAGGAAGCAGTGAGAAGTGTGAAGTGTGGACTGTGAAGTGTGAAGTGTGAAGTGTGGAGTGTGAAGTTTGAAGTTTGGAGTGCGAAGAGTGCAGTGTGAAGTGTGGAGTGTGGAGTGTGAAGACTTTGCTTCGTCTATTGCTGAAAAAAAAAGCCGCTTGTCGAGGGAAGGACACGGTCGGGACAGGTTGTCTTCGAACTATAGGTCATTTATTTTTGGGAAACTTCCGCCGCCGGCTTGCCCGGGTACTAGTATTTTTGCTTTTTAATCCTTAAAAAGTGCTTCAAAATCGTCTTTTTGTCGCTTTGGCGTCGAGATCCGGTTTTGGAGCTGCAATTTCCGACGCTGTTGCGCGTAGTTCTATTGTGTTTTGCAACTCAGTCTCTGCAGATCGCATTGTAATGGCTGCGTCAAGGTTGCTTCGTGCCGCGGCTGCATGCGTAATACTATTATTGTCTTTTGCAGCTGGATCTCGTAAATAGTATATTGGAGTGGCTGCATCAAGGCTGCTACAGTCATTTGTCAGCAGATTTTCTCAATTTTGGCGCTAATAATTTTCTTTTTAAAATTCCTTTTAAAAAGTGCTTCAAAATCGTCTTTTTGTCGCTTTGGCGTCGAGATCCCGGTTTTGGAGCTGCAATTCCTGTTGTGATTATGTACAGGAACGCTTCTCTGTGTAAAAACTTGTTCTGTAAAAGCTTGCTGTGTGTAAAAGATTTTGTGTAAAAGCTTGCTGTGTGTAAAAGCTTCTCTGTGTGTAAAAGCGTCTCTGTGTAAAAGTTTCTGTGTGAGTAAACGCTTGCCATGTGTAAAAGCACTGTGCGTAAGTGTTCTGTGTGTAAACGCTTGCTGTGTGTGAAAGCTTGCTGTGTGTAAAAGATTCTCTGTGTAAGAGCTTGTTGTGTGTAAAAGCTTCTCTGTGTGTAAAAGCTTCTCTGTTTAAAAAGCTTGCTGTGTGTGTGTGTAAACGCTTGCCATTTGTAAAAGCACTGTGTGTAAGTGTTCTGTGTGTAAACGCATGCTGTGTGTGAAAGCTTGCTGGTTCCCGCAAACAAACGCAGTTGTCGGCGCAGGAGGTCAAACTGTTGGACGAACTTAATGTATGCTGCTTGGATCACCAGTGGCACCCGTGCCAAATTTCAATTGCCCAGAAGCAATTGCTCATGGCAAACAATTGCCAGCTCGTGCGGCGCGCTCGCCGTAAGTGGTATAGGAGGCTGACAGACAAATGCAACATGCACGATCGTCACAGTGGTGTTGGCGTGGAGGTGCCGGCCGTGTATGTCGAAGTGCAAGAAGAGAATCGTGCCCAGCCTGCAGCAGATTTGAATGCAGATGTCAGCTGCGCAGAGGTACGTGTGACTTTTGGGACGCTGAACATGCAAGTGCAGAACCTAGATGAGGGTTTTCAAGACATACTTTGCAAGTGTGATATTTTGTGCTTGCAGGAAGTCACGCCGTCGTGCGTTGAAGATTTGTTGCAGATTGCTCGCAGCCATGGGTACGAAGTTGCCACGGCCATGGGGGAGGAAGTGTCAGTGCCGAACCCTTTGATGTTTGCATGCTGCTAAAAACTGCCACCATTCGCAAGTTGCGCATGTCGGTGTCTCCCTTGGCACCTGAGTCGCCCCGTCGGTTGTTGGCGGTGCAGGTGCAGCTGCGTGGCAACGGTGCCATTCTTGCGATTGGGACGGTACATTTGACAGCCAGCCCGGAGGGCCAGCCGCAGCGCTTGGCAGAGCTGGAGTCAGCATTGTGTACCTTACAAGCTTTGCAGGTAGACGGTCAGTTGTTGGTTGGCGACCTCAACATGCAAAGAGATGAAGATCTCACCTCTACAGAAGAGTTTTGGACATGGAACGATGCATGGCATTGCGCAGGCCAGGATCCGTCCAATTTTTGTGCAAGCGAGTTTTGCCGTATTGGCTGGCAGGGCAACAGATTGCAGAGTCCTGGAAGAACGGCTGCAAGTGTTGCGCCCGGGCCTGGGACCGCAGGTGTGCCGGCGACCAGGCGCCAAAGAAAAATGCGCTCAGTAGCGGGGAGTTGCTGACATGGCACGGCAATGTTTGCGGCTGCATAGGCCTTTCGGTACAGCAGCAGAAGATCCGATGTCGTTGAGTGATTTTGATGCAATCGGAAGTGCTTTGCGCAAGCTTTTTGTAGTACAAAGCAGTACTGGGAAGTGCTTTGTGCAAGCTTTGTAGTACAAAGTAGTACTGGGAAGGACTTTGTGCAAGCCTTGTAGTACAAAGTAGTACTGGGAAGTAGTTTGTGCAAGCTTTGCAGTACAAAGTAGTACTGGGAAGGACTTTGTGCAAGCCGTGTAGTACAAAGTAGTACTGGGAAGTAATTTGTGCAAGCTTTGTAGTACAAAGTAATACTGGAAAGTAGCTTGTGCAAGCTTTGTAGTACACAGTAGTACTGGGAAGTGTTTTGCAAGCTTTGTAGTACAAAGTAGTACTGGAACGTGTTTTGTGCAAGCTTTGTAGTACAAAGTAGTACTGGAATGTGCTTTGTGCAAGCTTTGTAGTACAAAGTAGTACTGGGAAGTAGTTTGTGCAAACTTTGTAGTACAAAGTAGTACTGGAATGTGCTTTGTGCAAGCTTTGTAGTACAAAGTAGTACTGGGAAGTGCTTTGTCCAAGCTTTTTGTAGTACAAAGTAGTACTGGGAAGTAGTTTTGGCAAGCTTTTGTAGTAGACATCAGTACTGGGAAGTACTTGACATGAAAATAGGCAAGAAGAACTTAGCTGACATATGGGAAGACATGGAATGAGATGAGAAGAGCTCAGATGAGATGAGTTGAGATGAAGTGCAAGTGTGAAGTGTGGAGTGTGGGGTGTGAAGAGTGCAATGTGAAGTGTGAGGAAAGTGTTTGCATTGTACCGGGGTCGCGCGCAGGTCATGTTCCTGGACAGCAACACTGCAACAGCTTCGCACAAAGCACGCACGCACGGGCGTGGCTGGCGAACGGCGCATGCAAGTTCCGTTGTAGTAGTACTGGGAAGTGATTCATGAAAGCTTAGATGACATATGAGAAGAGATGAGATGAGAAGAGCTGAGGTGGGATAAGGTGAGAAGAGCTCAGATGAGATGAAGCGTGGGGTGTGAAGGTGCAGTGTGAAGTGTGGGGCGTGAAGAGTGCAGTGTGAAGTGTGAAGTGTGAAGTTTGGAGTGTAAAGGAAGAAGTGAGAAGTGTGAAGTGTGGACTGTGAAGTGTGAAGTGTGGACTGTGAAGTGGGAAGTTTGGAGTGCGAAGAGTGCAGTGTGAAGTGAAGTGTTGACTGCGAAGGGTGCAGTGTGAAGAGTGCAGTGTGAAGTGTGTAGTGTGGAGTGTGAAGACTGTCAAGTGTGAAGTGTGAAGTGGAGCTTGAAATGTGACATGTGAAACAAGACACCAGTTTCGCAGAGTGCACGCACGCACGGGCTTGGCTGGCGCACGGCGCATGCAAGTTCTATAGATGAGAAAGGTCTTGTATATATATATATCTTTAGGGCAACTTCCGCCCTGCCTCGTGCGAGTACTACTGGTAGCTTAATCCCTTATTCTAATAGCTTAATAGCTTAATCGCTTATTCTAATAGCTTAATAGCTTAATCGCTTATTCTAATAGCTTAATAGCTTAATAGCTTAATCGCTTATTCTAATAGCTTAATAGCTTAATCGCTTATTCTAATAGCTTAATCGCTTATTCTAATAGCTTAATAGCTTAATAGCTTAATCGCTTATTCTAATAGCTTAATCGCTTATTCTAATAGCTTAATAGCTTAATAGCTTAATCGCTTATTCTAATAGCTTGATAGCTTAATCGCTTATTCTAATAGCTTAATGGCTTATTCTAATAGCTTAATAGCTTAATAGCTTATTCGAATAGCTTAATAGCTTAATCGCTTATTCTAATAGCTTAATCGCTTATTCTAATAGCTTAATAGCTTAATAGCTTATTCTAAAAGCTTGATAGCTTAATCGCTTATTCTAATAGCTTAATAGCTTATTCTAATAGCTTAATAGCTTAATAGCTTATTCTAATAGCTTAATAGCTTAATCGCTTATTCTAATAGCTTAATAGCTTAATCGCTTATTCTAATAGCTTGATAGCTTAATCGCTTATTCTAATAGCTTAATAGCTTATTCTAATAGCTTAATAGCTTAATAGCTTATTCTAATAGCTTAATAGCTTGAACAGAGTTGCGGGACCATCCTGCGGGCGCAATGGATTTTCATAGTGTTTTGTGGTTTCAGTTGGGCATCAGTGCATCAGGGGTCAGTTGCGCAGTTTTTTTTGGATGTGCTACTGGAAGGTCCATGGGTGGATACGCTTTGTGGCTCCAATCATACAGCCAGCGCTCATTGGCGCTTATCCCTATATATATAGTGCTAAGCTCACTAGCGCAACAAAAAGTGCAACAAAAAACACAACCTAGGTTTGCCTAGAAGTTCGGTTTCTACGGGTCCAAAACATCCCACAGCGCGGATTCTCGTGCTCACGAAACTTGTTTCTTTTTCAGTAAGTTTGGGCGCCCGATTTGATGTCTTTTTTCATTCGCCTTCCATGGGTTGTGTCATTCGAATTGGGCCAAGGCCGTGATCAAATCCCCAATCCCCCATCCCCAATCCCCCATCCGATCCCGAGACTCGTCCCGGGAATTGAAGTGCGGGATGATTCCATGTCATCCGCAATTTGGAAGACTGTTTCGACTGTTTCCTAAATTTTCCTAACTTCCTTTGAGAACTTTGAGGTGTCTGCGACATAGTTGCAGTTTTTGATGTTTGCCGCACATTCTGTGCTTACTTTTCTATCCACTGCACCAACTTGGCCCCACCTGGTTTTTCTTGGCATCATGTCCACGGCTGCTTTCGGAGCACACAGGTTTGTGATTCCAAGGCAATCCACACCAGCATCAATTGCACTTTGCAAGCCCTCTTGCAACAAGTGTGCACCGGCCTTCAGAATGGAAATATTTTGCACTTGCTGCAACTTGCCGTCGTCAGTACAAGGCAAGACCCTTTCCGTGGCTGCTTCGTAGTGCACGGTTTTGCCATAGGCCTTTGCAGTTGAAACCATGACTCCAACAATGCTTGGCGAGGACGGGGCTCCCAGAAGCGCCATGTTGGAGTCCATGACGACGTGGTCGACCACTGGCGAACGTGCCAAGTAAAACAACAAGTTGCTGTTCAACACATCCGTTGTCGCAAAAAACTCGCCAAAATGAAGTAAACAAGACGGTGTCGTTCCTTGGTTCCTCTCCAGATTCCACTCCGTGTGCACCAGGAAACAAAGCGCCTCATATTTCTTTGCTAGAAATTCTTGCCGGAACATTAACCAAAGATGTAAAGACTCTGATTGGTCGACAATGGGTCTGCACACAGGCTCGCATGGGTAATCAAAGGCATCTATGGGCTTCAGACCTTTACTTTCCTGCCATCTCCGGTAGGTTTCAAGGGAATGAAATGAGTAGTCCCGCATCTTGTCAAACTCTTGCGTGTAGCGCGTCTCAAACTCATTATTCACCGTGGGCGAAATGCTCTCAATACAATCACCATATTTGGTGGTAAGTTTCCACGTAACTTTGCTGACAAAATTCGAAATCAAGTCCCAAACCTCTGGATGTGCTAGAGCTGGAGAAGGAATAGAATCACGTTTGGCACAGTTCTGGTGCCTGGAACCTTTTTCCGAGTAATTCTGACTGTCAATGCGCTGAGCAGATACCCAGGGCGGAAATTCGTTCAATCCAAGTACAATATGTAATTTCAATCTTTCCTCACAGACGACATCCATGAAGTCCTTGTCAAACGTGTCAATGCGAATATCATTTTGTTCTTCTCTTTCTGTCCATGCCCATGGCACATTTGTCATTATTGCGCTGAATCCGCTTGCCTTGGCTTCTTGAATAAAGGCACGTACCTTTTCTTTGCCTTCAGTTTTGTCCCGAAACCACTTGTGAACTTGATGGAGCCAGAGTGTCAAATACATGTCTGGTCGATTTTTTGCGATTTCTGCAGTTTCATTGACCTGCGATTTCTGCAGTGCAACCATATTCATGATGGGTTGCGTTGAAAGGTATGAAGTCAGCAGCATACAGTTCAGAATCACTAGAGCAAATAATGCAATTAGCCAAGAAATGCGAACCAAGGACGCCATGGCCTTCGCAAAACTAGGTCCACCGCTCATAGGCGGCCGTGGTGTAAAATAGCATGTTCAATGATTCAATGTTGTTTGAATCACGCAATTCCACTGCGTTTAAGGGACAGTCTTTGATTTCACATGTTTCATGCGTAGTTCCCTTGGGGAAAATATTGTCATGATAGAAACCAGTGTAACTGCGAGCAAAATATTCTATTTGTTTTGCCCGCAACTAAGGACTCCATTCATCTTTTGTGCATCATCACCATCATCATCATCATCACCATCATCATCATCACCACCATCATCATCATCACCATCACCATCATCATCATTATCATCACCATCATCATCATCACCATCACCATCATCATCATCATCATCATCATCAGCAGCAACGGAAATTCTAGGAAGAAATGCGTCGGAAATTCTAGGAAGAAAGTTCACAACGTAGCATCAAGAGCGTCTCAAGATCTAGGAAAAACGTTCACAACGTAGCATCAAGAGCGTCTGCAGTTCTAGGAAGAAAGTTCACAACGTAGCATCAAGAGCGTCTCAGGTTCTAGGAAGAAAGTTCACAACGTAGCATCAAGAGCGTCTCAAGATCTAGGAAGAAAGTTCACAACGTAGCATACAGAGCGTCTGCAGTTCTAGGAAGAAAGTTCACAACGTAGCATACAGAGCGTCTGCAGTTCTAGGAAGAAAGTTCACATCGTAGCATCAAGAGCGTCTCAGGTTCTAGGAAGAAAGTTCACAACGTAGCATCAAGAGCGTCTGAAGTTCTAGGAAGAAAGTTCACAACGTAGCATCAAGAGCGTCTCAGGTTCTAGGAAGAAAGTTCACAACGTAGCATCAAGAGCGTCTGAAGTTCTAGGAAGAAAGTTCACAACGTAGCATCAAGAGCGTCTGAAGTTCTAGGAAGAAATTTCACAACGTAGCATCAAAACAACGGAATCAAGTAAAACGCACGCGACAGGACGGTATTGCGCCCACCCCCGAACCCCTGTTTTTGTTTCGACCTAATACCTACAGAGGTACATGCATGAGTATTGAGCACATTTATATGCGCCCCTCAAGGCTCAAGAGGTATATAGAGTAACCCTGTAGACAAGCACTGACCGGCAACAGGCTGAGAGTAAAACAAGTGCTGTCATTGGGGAAGACGCCTTAGCTGATCTTGAAGTAGACGCTAGGGCCCCTCTTCAAGTGGTAGCGGAGCTGTGATCCCTCATTGAGGGTGAGCTCCAGGTAGAGCCCAAGCAATGGCACGCCATGGCTATGATGATGATGACTTCGACATTGTCGATGCAGATGGATGGAACCAATATGACTCTTATGCAATGAGAAGAGCACCCCAGCAGGCACAGATTCACATGACGCAACAAATGACCACAAAGGTAGCTCCAGCATATGATGGGAGAACTAGTTTCTTTGCTTTTGAAGATGCAATTGATGACCGGTGTGACATCACGGAGTTAGAACCTGAGAAACGTGGTCCAGCCTTGCGCAATCGACTGGAAGGAGATGCTCTACAATACAAGAGGCTATTGGATAGAGATATGCTCAGGGATCCCAATGAAGGAGTGAACTCTTTCAAAAGATTTCTACGACCTCATTTCATCAAGGGTGCCCAGAACGTGTTCTTATACCGTTTCATGCAGTTCATGAAGTTCAACAGAGGAACTATGGATCTTCAGAAGTGGATGACAAGATTTCAACTCACTGGCAACAGACTTATTGAGTCTTGGATGGATTTACTTCCAGAAGCAACAGTGACTAGTCCTGAAGCAATCCTGTTTGTTCAACAAAAACGTCAAGAACATGAACGAGATCAACAAGTTTCCTCGTACTGGATGAAGGTGAACTTGAAGGAACCGACGGTTCACCGACGGCTATTGGGCCGAAGGTGAAGAAGACGGCGCAGAAGGATTCCTGGATGCTTTAGAAGATGTTTTCTGGGTTTATGATGACGCTGACTACACATGGTATCAGAGAAGGTTCCAAGGCAGACAGACCAGACGAGGCAAAGGTAAAGGAAAGAGAAAAGGAAAAGGAAAAGGCAGAGGAGGACGAAGGTTCTTCAGATCAAGGAAAGGAAAAGGCCAAGGAAAAGGAAGAAGGAAAGGCCGTGCTCACATGGTGAGGGAAGAAGGTTATGAAGAAGATTGGCAAGAAGAAGAATGGAATGAAAACTATGAAGGCTATTGGGCCGATGATCAAAACTGGAATGAAGGCTATTGGGCCTATGATGATCTGTACTACATGGATGAGTATGGATACTTCCAGAGGAAAGGAAAAGGAAAAGGAAAAGGAAAGAAAGGCAAGAAAGGCAAGGATGATGATGGCAAAGGAGGAAAGCCAAGAGATGGAAAAGGCAAGTCAAACTATGTTCAACCTCAGACCACATCAACTCCTGCCATACAGAATCAACAAACGCAACAAGCTCATTATTCTTCTACTGCATCAAGTTCTGGTCATGGTTTCTTTGCTTTTGCTGAGACTGAACCAGCACGTGTAGATGTTTTGGCATCCACGTATGCAGAACAAGAAGTACAACGACGCACTCGTCGTGGAGGACAGAACCAACGTGATGCAACAGCACAGCAAAACAGGAAGGAGCTCAAAAAGTTCCCTGTTCTGGTTGGAGATCTTGATGCACTTCGACAAGGTGTACAACGACGTCCAGCTCGTGTGCCCAGGCAAGTTGGTCTACAAGAAGGTGAGGCTTCATGGAAGACATTGGCAAAAGGCACATTATTGTTTTCATATGGATGCTCTACAGAGATAGAGGTACCATCGCAGCAGAGTGCTTTTTCATTTCATACTGTACAGACTGATCTGGCATGTGAGAAAGGACTAGCTTTTCACACAGAGAATTCTGCACCACCAACTGTATGTATCCTGGATCTTGGATGCACAAGAGCTATGGGCTCTCGACGAGCAGTTGAAGCATTTTGCAGATATGTTGACTCACATTCCAACAGTGGACTCTGGTATGAAATTCAGCCAACAAGTTCGAGATTCTTCTTTGCAAATTCACGACAATCCAAATGTACTGAGAAGCTCGTGATATTCATGTATGATCATGGATGGAACACTCAGTTCACAGAATTCGACATTGTCGAAGAAGGTGATGTCCCATTGTTGATGTCACTTCCACAGATGAGAAACCTTGGATTTCAATTTGAACTTACTCCAGAGAAGGCTTATTTGTCCTGTGCACGTATTGGCATGAGAAAAATGGTTTTGAAGACAGCCATCAGTACTCATCTCATTCTCGACCTACAAGATGTAGCATGGCACATGAGCCAAGTTCATTTCAAGACTCCTCAAGTCAAGAGTTTCTTTTCACAACACGATCACTTTGAGTACAGTCAGATTGCTGTCAAACAAGATGATCATGAAGAAGAAGCTTTGGTGACTGGTGACTACTGGCAAGTTGATCCACTACGTCATGAACTCATCAGGCATCACAAGGACAAGAGAAGGAATCTACATGAGATGAATCGATCAGAAGAAACTCCAATTCCAAAAGATCAACTTCTTGATGAGAGAGAGACACACATGGAGTACCAGAAGAGCAAGAAGAAGGTTCTTCACAAGGACAACTGGCGCACAGAGAGGAAGAGGTTTTCTGAACAGAGTGAAGAGTTCTGGAAGGGCAAGACCATCTACAAGATCAAGGAGGACTACGTGATCCCAGATGATATCGTCAGAAGTGACATTGATCGAGCAAAGCCCTTTCGTGGAAACATTGATGATCTTTTTCACCCTGAGTCAGCCTCTTCAGTGCCATCAGGTGTACAGAAGAAGCCACGCTCCTCACAGAAGGAGGTAGGCAAACCGATTTCGAAAGGACCAAGCTCGAAAAAGATTGAGGTAGGTCCTCCAGCAGCAAAGAGACACGTAGGTAAGCAGAAAACCTCAAATTGTCGATGACTCTCAATCAGGTTCATCAAGAAAGAAAGTCGTTGTCTCCTATCCCAAGCTTGATGAGGAAGATGAACTTGACAAAAGAGCTAGGGAGTTAGGTTTGGACAAAATTGATTCAGATGAACCTCAAGTCATTGAACCAAAACCTTCTGCACCTGCGCGCAACCGTGGTAAGCAAGATTCAGAAAGTCAAGTTGAGAAACTAGATAGTGATGCTCTTGAGCCTAGGCGAGTTTCAATTCCACTGCCTGGTAGTGAAGTGCAAGCCATGACACCAGCATACAGAAAGATGCCCAGGAAACTGGAGGATAGCGTTGAACTTTACAAGCTTCATATCAAACACTATCACATGTCTCCTACTCAATTCAGACGAAGGACTTCCATGTTAGGACTTCCTGACTCTGTTTATGAGAAGTATGAAGAAATGTACAACAAGTGTCGTGTGTGTGTAGTACTTCAATTGCACCACCGCCGAGAGCCAGAATTCCAGGCATACAATCCACCAACTTTGGAGATGTTATCTTTGTTGATCATGCTGAAATTCAGTTGGGGAAGAACAAGTACATGGTGCTGCTTGTTCTTGATGGTGCACCCAACTTACTTTGGGCTACGGCACAAAACTCACTGAACAACAAGGAGACCATTCAGGCTCTAAGGTTGTGGACCGATGAACATAATTGTATGCCGAAAGCCATCGTAGGTCGTAGGTGATGAAGCATTCTTTCAAGAAGACTTTCTGACTTATTACCGAACTCATGGTATCAAGGAATGTCCCTGTGGTTCAAGAACCCCATGGCCTAACAGAGCTGAATCAGCTGTCAGACTGTTCAAACGACAATGGCAAATCATGTCCAAGAACCTTGAAGATGATAGGTTCAAGGGAATCACCATTAGAGAAGCTGTGAAGCGTACTGTTTGGGCCAGAAACACTCAACTCACTGTTAGTGGTTATTCTCCTTTGGAAATTGCCACTGGTAGGCGACCACCAGATCTTCTGGACATTGAGACTTCTGATCCTGCTCAACTTAGTGTTGATCCTTTACCTGAAGACAAAACCCAACTTGAGTTGCAAAGGTTAGCACTGAGGGCACATCAGGAAGCCAGACAAGCT